ATGTATTCTTGAGTCTATAAGGTAACAATAATATAATAAGATAACTTTGTTTGAAATGGGTTTGGCTAAAAGAAAATTTTGGTTTCGTCTATACTACTAGGTACTTACAGTATACTATATTGACTGGGTTAAATAGAATTGCAGTTCTAAAAAGAGACTAAAATACAATTTTCATTGACTAAAACTAGACTAAATGTCATCAGTTTTCGTCGACTAAAACTAGACGAAAATAGTCATGGATAATTCTGACTAAAATAAGACTAAAATGCTCAGACTTTTAGTTGACTAAAACTTGACTAGACTAAAAAGAGTATGAACGTGACTAAAACTAATAAAAACTAAAATGACAGCTTCACACAAAGACTAGACTAAAACTAAAATTAAAACAGGCCACCAAAAACAACACTACATCCTCCACCTTAAAGTCATGTTTGGACAGAAAGCATGTGAATGTCACTGTTTCTCATCTATGTCTGTAAATAACACTTTATTTCTCTTTTCCTTGCCCTCTCTGAAGGAAAAAGAGCTTTCATTTTGATTTTGCTGTAAGGTATTGTGGTCCTCCTGCCTGTGCTGATACCGTAGCCAATCAGATACATATCACCTTCCTTTCTCTCGCTCGCTCTTCTCCTGCAGTATTGAGGGGAATTATAGCTGAGCAGAGAGATTCTGTTGAAACTCTAGAGATTCCATCCACACTTTACAATTTGTGGTTTATTCAGGGTGAAAACAGTTCAGTGGGCTTCCTTTCCTGTAGCTGCCATATCAAGCATTGCAGTTTCTCCCTTTTATTTCTTCTCCACCTTCTGATGATTTTGGAATTAGCCATTAAATTGTGTACTAAAGGCTGTGGTGTGGAAAGAATGTGAAGGTTTTATTGGATCTCTTGCTGCTCTGGGTATGAATATTACCTCCATCATCCTCTGCACACCTCCGATGTCCTTCAGCAGAGCACACAATGTACCAGAGCCTTTTCAGTTTAAGCTTCTTATAACATTCAAAACCTAAATGTCCTTCAAGGGCCCAGAAAAAAGGACATAATACTTAAATAAAACCTCTATAGAGGACATCAGGATTCAGTTACAAAGAAAAGGGAAAAATTATGTTCATTATACACAGTTTTTAAGTTTCAGGCCATTTTTGTTCTGTGACACATCCTTCTTTATTACTTGATTACTAGACTAAAACATTGAAAAAATTGTTAATAAAATACATTTCTCAATTATACTTTGAAATGTATTACAGGTTGATTTAATATAATTTGTTATATTTATATGGGGAAAATAATCAAATTGAAATACATTATCATTTACTTTTTTATGTTGACACTGTTTTTGGGAACTTTATTATTAAGAAATATATGTACAGTGCTGTTCAAAAGTTTGGGATCAGTTTCTTGAGCTCATCAAGGCTGCGTTTATTTGATCAAAATACAGAAAGAAATGTAATTTTGTGAAATATTATTACAATTTAAAATAGGATTTCCATTTTAATATACTTTCAAATATAATTTATTTCTCTGAAGCAAAGCTGAATTTTCAGCATCATTACTCCAGTCTTCAGTGTCACATGATCCTTCAGAAATCATTCTAATACGCTGATTTATAATCAATGTTGGAAACAGTTGTGCTGCTTAATATTTTTTGGGACCTACTTTTTTCAGGATTCTTTGATCAATAAAAAGTAAAAAAAAAAAACAGTGTTTATTCAAAATAGAAATATTGTGTTACACTACTATTAAAAAGTTTGGGGTCAGTACATTTTTTCTTTCTTTTTTTAAAGAAATTAATACTTTTATTCAGCAAGGATGTGTTAAATGGATAAAAAGTGATAGTAAAGACTTGCTCCATTAAAAAATATTCAAAATCTTACTGATTTCAAACGTTTGAACAGTAGTGTATATGCTATTGTAATGTTGGTATGTAACTCTGGCATGTAAGGGAAATTTGTGGGTCTTGAGAATTTCTGGGTCCCGGAGGATATTTTCAGTTTGAATAAAAAATCAAGGATGCAAATGATTTCAAATGATTGCACTTTCATGAAAAGGCAGAAAAAATATCTGAGGTGAGCAGACTGTATGATGGAGGTAAAATGATTTCTCCATTTTCTGTCTTAGCTTCATGTTCATTTTTCTCCCCTCTAGTGATCTCTCTCTCATCAGAGTAAAAACCTAAACTACACAACACTCACACACTCACAGTCCGAGCAGGTGCTTGAAGTATTGCTGCTGATATTGGCTGAATTCTCAGTTATTGGTTTCATCAGTGTCTTTATATTCTCTGGTTTGCAGAGCAAGAGACCTTCTGTTATGCCTTTCACTGAGAGCAACTTCTATTTCGGCTCAAATGCACTCTGTGAACTCCCTCTATTTGGGCTTGTGCTGTGTTGTTTTTGGGGTGGTTTGTTGGCACAGATTATTTATTCTTTCTGTTCTCTTATAATTTGCTTCTGGTTTTGGGTTTTGCTCTTCTCAGAGATGGTTTAACACAACATGAGATTTCAGTCTGAATGTAAATCTGTTGGTTGTATTGCAAAATTAGTGTTATACAGTGTATATATATTTAAAATAATGCTTTCCCTTAAGAACTCATTTCATGCTGAACAGTGTGGCCATTTCATGATTTTATTTTGGAATATAATGTACAAGTAAGCATAACCATTTTAACATTGTTGTTGCTAGATCTATAATCTCTGCATTAGACCATCTCTGGTTCAAGTAGCTTGAATCTGAGCAATGATTGGCTGAGAATGCTTCTTTCTTTTAGTTTTTTCGGGGCGGGTGGGGCAGTGGCATAACGGCAGCAGTCGATTAGAATTATGCTGGCATGACTCGCTTTACAGCATTTCTTTGTAGCATGTCTCAGACACGCTTTATTATTGGATGACACAAAATAGTCAGTTGTATTTAACTGAAAGTTGGGAAGAACTTGAAGTTAAAGAACGCTCAGTTGGAGGGGCAAAGAGTGAATGAACCAGACAAAATTGGACAAAATCAGTCTTAGAAGCCTTTTCTCCTTAGAGATCAAAATGCTATTCTAAACTTAAGGGGGGTTTTGGTAGATATAGTGTGCAGTTTAATGGGGTTAATTTACCAGTCAGTAAACCATGTGTTCAAAGTCCTCTTTCTTTTTCCCTCTCACAGTCCTGATGAAGACTCGTGTCAGAAATTCATTCCTTTTATTGGGGTATGTGTCCATTTACAATTATGTTTTTATAGTTTGAAATGTTTTATTGTATTTGGCACAAAGTTTATTTGTTTTCAAACTGTCTTCAGGTGGTGAAAGTGGGGATTGTTGAACAAACGTCTGCCACATCTGGTTAGTTATACTGTCAATATATTATATATTAAATATGGCTGTCAACTGTTAACTCGTATAAAATATGACAAAATAATAGTAAAAAAAAATTACATATGTGTTTTTTGGCTTGAGGAGGAAAACACAGATTAACTTTATTCAGAGGCCCAAACTGAGTAAAAGTATGCAATTTCTTGTTCTACAATGAAAATAGTACAATGAATTATAAAAATGCATGAAAAAAATTCTAATAGCCCTTATGTGAAATATAACCAGTTGTGAACCTAAAATATTTGTTATATTATTTTTATTTATAAATGTTATATTTAAGGTGGTGTATTAATGTTTTGTGCATGTGACTGTGTGTTTGTAGGTGATTCAGATGACGCTGCTCCTGTAGGATCGTCTCTTCTCTCGTCTACTCCTCCTGCACAGATCTCACCATTACTGAAAGAAGCATCTCCAACGCCTCCTTCTTCTCCTTCTGTGCACATGTCCAGGTACAAACACACACAGCGCTAGGTGTCAGAGATCTCTGTAGTCTTCTGTTTTCTCACCTTGTCTTTGTGGCTGCAGTTCTCCTGGAGGAGGTCAGGGGGAGCTGATGGGTCTTCAGGTTGATTACTGGATTGCTCTTTCAGAGAGGAAGAAAGAAGTGGAGAAGAGAGACTCCTCTGCCAAAAACACGCTCAAGTGCACCTTCCGCTCGCTGCAGGTTAGCCGCCTCCCACTGGGCGGAGCAGAGACGACACATCAGCCAACCATGTCCATGAATGTTGTCACCAAAGAGAAGAATAAGAAGGGTAAGACACAGAAACACAATACTTATAGTTTATAAAATGTACTGTGTTGTTGAATAAGCATCAAACACACTGTCTCTGTGTTCAGTGATGTTTCTGCCAAAAAAGACCAAGGATAAGGAGGCGGAGTCTAAGAGTCAGGTGATAGAGGGCATAAGTCGACTCATCTGCACGGCCAAACACCAGCAGACTATGCTGAAAGGTGATCAGCCAATCAGAATTCTTCAAAGTAATCGCTACAATTTACAATACAGTCAGTAAACCTCGCTTAGGGGGGTCATAAACTTCCTGCAAGCTGCAAAAGTGGAACATTTCAGTGTAAACTCTTTTCTGAACCTGCTACAATGTATTTTCAGCCTTTCAATTTCAGCCTACAGTTAAAAATATATTTATAATGCAAACCACCAGCTCACAAACTTTGACTAACAATATATACATAAATTTCAAATTAAAAAATTGCACCACCAGTTAAATTTAATATAAATGTAATAATAATTATAATTATTATAATTACATTTAAATGTTTTTTTAAGTGGTTTTGTTTATATATATAATTTTTTTTATTATTTAGTAATAATAAATTATATACCATTCAACATTTTTTGGGGAAGAAATTAATACTTTTATTTAGCATTAGTAAAGACTTTTAATTGTGGCAAAAGATTTCCATTTCAAACAAGTTAATCAAAGTTGTTAAAAAAAGTATCACAATTTCCACAAAAACATATCTTCAACACACATACACGCATATATATATATATATATATATATATATATATATTGAGCTTCTAATCAGCATATTAGATTGATTTCTTAAGGATCATGTGACACTGAAGGCTGGAGTAATAACGCTGAAAATACATAAATATTGTAATAATATTTCACAATATTACTTATCTGCTGTATTTATTGAATTTACTGAAGGTCTCTTAGGCTCACCAAAGCTGCATTTATTTGATCAAAAATACTTACAAAATCCTACCAACCTCAAACTTTTGAACAGTGCTATATATTATACATACATCTCTTTATAATTTAGTATCGATGATGTATAATTTATATTTGTGGAGTTCAGGAAAACATGGTTAAAGACTAAAGACATGCATGTTTTTTGCTTCCTCCCTACAGTGTTGATAGATGGAGTAGAATGGAACGATGTGAAGTTTTTCCAGCTTGCAGCTCAGTGGTCATCTCACGTCAAACACTTCCCGCTTGCCATCTTCGGACCCTCCAAAGGGCCTTACTGAACTACAGCCTCACATCTTCACTCCTCTACGCTACGGCTGCCTTTACACTCAGTGCTGCCTGATGTTTTTATTTAAAATATCTGCTTTCTCACGGTTTGTGTCTGTGTTTTTTTATTTCAGTGACATTCGATTGTTCTTTTATGAAAGACTTGATGCAGTCTTGGCAACAGGGCATATTTTTTTGGACTACGTATGTTAAAACCCTCCAGTGTTTATAGAGAAATGACTAATGAACTGAATCTTTAAAACTGATCTAATTCTGTAACTAGTGAGTTTTCGGGTGGTTTTGTGTCATTCTGCAAAGCTGTATCCACACACTTCAGCAGCCAGCACACTTGTGGGAGAGCAAACCAGCAAAAAGGGGAGAAAGGAACTGTGCTTTTGTTATATTAAAAGGACAAAATCTGGATTGGATTTAGCTTCGGATGGATTTTCCAGATGGCTTGGCTTTATCCTGAAGACAGCTAAAGCGTTTTCTCCATCTCTCTCGCTCTATAACCTCAGCGAGGTCAGAGAGTCTCTCGAAGGTTAATTGTGTGTTTGTGTTGCAGTCTCCACCTCGTCATATGTGATTTACTTTGTAGGTTTGTGTGTGTGTGTGTGTGTGTGAGAGAATGTATTCACTGAAGGTACTGAACGCTAAAGCACTTTTAAAACATTACTAGATTGTGTTTTTGTTATATAATGCTTCCTGTGGTGCACAGCGCTGTTCACTCCAGCTAAAAACTGCAGCAAAGCTTTGTGGGAACTTTGGAGACAGACACTGGACTGAGTGTCTGTGTCTACATTAGATGGACCAGTGTCAAACCTGTGTGCTGCACTCTTTAAAATATTTTTTAATGTAAATGTTTCCTAGAATGAAATGTACATTGTGTTTGGTTTGTTGGCTTGTTTGAGGATGTTTTCTTGTGAGATGTCCAGTTTCCTCCAGATGCTGTAATGGATTTAGAATAATGTGCCTAAAACATGGAGAATTTTTAGAGCAGCGATGTCCAGGTCATACTTAACCCCAAAATCAAAAGAAAATAAGTTAATATTTTGTTATAAGGGAAATGCAGCATATTTTTAGGACATGTTATTTATATATTTTTGTTTTTGCATTGTGATGACATTTTAATGATAATTTAAAATATTTACACAGCATGGTAACATTTGTTGTACTACCTTTGTTTGTTTAAAAAAAAAAAGAATATATTTATACGTTTATTAATCTTGGTTAATTTCCATATACATTTTTATTTTTTTTTCCAAGTTGCATAATTTAACATTAGTTAATGTATTATGAATTACCCGTGAATAACAATATGATTATAAATTAACATTAACCTAGATTAATAAACATAAAAAAAATATTGTTCATGAGACCAAATGCATTAACTAACATTAACAAATTGAACCTTATTGGAAAGTGTTGGAAACAATCTAATGAGAATGACCTTTGAGAATGCTGAGCAGCAAACTTAGAAGCAAAACGTTAGAGTAATGAGACTCTTATTTGTCACAATTCAGAAAAACTTGATGGCCCCAAAAAAAAATTTCTTCTGATTTTGGGGTGAAATATGACCTGTAGATGTTTCATGAACACTAAACAAACAAGCTACATACATATGTCACTATATTTTGATCTCCCTAAATGTAGCATAAGAATTACAGTGTTCCACAGCCTGTGTGCATACAGTATACCTGCCTGTAGGTGACATGAACACGTGTAGATGCTAATGACTCGGTGTTATAAAGGTATTAGACATGCCTTTTTCCTAAGGCCCTTTAGCGAGGCTCTGAACCATCTCTTAGTCTCTGCTTTGCGAGACGGTGAGATTGTTTAATCCTCGTTACTCCTATAGAGTCGTTTTAAATCAAATTATATTGTGCCTCACTTGCTCCTAAGAAAGCCAAAATATGTCAGAACAAACAAATCCAACCCCGAGGGAACCATCCCATAATTTAACTCACAGACTCGCACTTGTCACGATTAATGCAAGCAAGTGGCAAACATGTGCAATGATGTCAGTGTTGTTCTATTTCTGGTCAGCAGAGGTTTTGGTGCGATTTGATGGAAATATTTCATGCTTGTCCAGACTGTAAAAAGGTTCATAATTTATCATACACAGTATGTAAGGAGCTGTGCTGATGATGTCAGCTTATAGTTAAAGTTGTGCTAAAGAACTGTCTGTTTGCTGTTTAAATGTATACCTGCCACTAGTATTAGTTTTGTTTTGTCTCTTATTACAAATATAATTGAAAAAACTTTTATTTTTTTTATTTAAAAGTTCTGCTCCAGTTATGGAGGATTACTCAGATAAATTTGTATTTGTAAGAAAAACTGTTGAAAAAAATACTACCACTGTAATTCCTTACTGGAATTTAATAAAACTACACACTAAGATTTGTTTTGGTCCCTGCTTGTCATTTTTATGCTTGTTGAGTGAATATTAAAAAATTGGGTATTCTATATTTGCACATGACTTAGAGTCTTTAACTCTGCTAATATTTTCTGTGAATCACAAGATATAGAATGCCAAAAGTTTTTGAATGTTTCATTTAGCATGATGTTGTAAAATTTGAATCTGAATGTAACAATTAAATATGAATCTTTTGAATCTGGATCTGAATAATTTAATATGTAATTTATAATTTAGCAGTGATTTTTTACATCTATCTCTCTCTCTATATATACAGTGATAGCATAATTAATAATATAATTAATAACATAAGATAAATGTTATTTTTTGGTATGAGTAAATGTATGAAGAGTAAAGGTTTATTATTGTAAATTTTTTGCATTTTAATAAAGTCTAATGATAAAATATAAGTAATTTAATGTTGTTTCTATTTACGTTTCATTCTATTTATGTTAAATGTTAAAAAATGTTACATTATTAACACCTGAGTGTAAAAGTTAAATATAAATCTTTTGAATCTAAATAATTTAATATATAATATTTAATTTAATTTTAATAAATCACTGTAAAGTAAAAAAAGGTTTTTACGCAAAGTGTAAAAAGGTTTATTTTTATTATCTTCCAGTTTTTTTAAATAAGTCCCTTACAATAATACAATATTGTATAAATAGCTTATTTTAATATGGTTTCTATTTATATTTTTAATTTACTTTAAATATTTTAAATATTATATTGTTAACTAGATAAAGTAAACTTTTATGGTCGTGAAAGTTGTTTTTTTAATGCAGCATTTTTGTTGTCTAATTTCTCGGGTGTAAAGCCAGGTAAATTGGTGCACTTTTTCCATTGAGATGACTGGAACAAAATGTCCCAATTAACCCGAATACATATTTAACAAATAACATATTTAACTAGATAGATATTAACTTATATATAAACAAAGAAATACTTAAATAGATACACATGCACATGTATGTGCTGTACACATACAGCATACTGGTTCACTTTTTAACAACAATAAAATATTCAAAAATCAAGCACTGCATTAAAAGCAACACAGATTACAGAGGCACAAGTGTTCACAAATTATATAAACCGAAGCATATTATATAACATTCAATCAGAAAGCACAGCAGCGGTTCTGGTTCGGAGTTAGTGATCCGCTCTTGTGACGTCATCACCCTTGCACCGGAGCAGGAAGTGCCGGCGGTCGGTGGGACTCTAAACAACCTTCTGTTTTTGCTGCGCACTTTCATGCTTTACCGAGCAAACATGTAACGGTACATCCTCCAGCCGAAGCAGAATCCACCGAATCATACCGGAGCTCAAACCCATGACGGCTGGGACACTGTAGCGGTGGCGTTGAGACTCGTTTACCGGAGGAGAGATGAAGGAAGTGCGGGGCTGCGTCGTGCGGAGCGCCGTCGGGTTCCTTTCCCGCAGGACGATCGGCGGACAGCCGCGGCTGAAGGAGGACTTCCAGAGGCGCAGACTGGCCGGCTGCTCCAGCCTCTATAAGAAGGACATGCTCGGCCACTTCGGCTGCGTCAACGCCATTGAGTTCTCCAACAATGGAGGCCAGTGGCTGGTGTCCGGTAAGATCCTCCGGTCCTGCACGCTGATCTTACTAATGTGGGTCAGCGAGAGAAAGACGGACAGGAGTAGAGAACAGGCATGCAGAATAAAACATGCATTGACAGGATTGCTTTGACATCTTTAGTTTGTCAGATTGTGCATGCATGTTTTATTTTTCTGGGCATTGCCAAAATAAAAATAAAAAACAGGTTTTAGTCTTCCTGTCAGTGATATATAAACATGTTAAGGGTGCACTCAGTAAAAAAAAAAAAGTTTTTACACAAAGAAACGCAATGACTAGAGTAATGTCATTTAAAAAATGATATTAGATTACATAATGCACATCCACATGAGATGAAGATCAGTCTTCTAGAAAAAGCTTTTTTTTTTATTCTGCATGAAGTGGGTCGCCCCTTTATGGGCGTAACCATGTTTACATCACGTGACCAGCCTTAACGCACAACACTAAAGTTACTGATAGTATACTAAGTTTAGTCTGTTATAATAAACAATAAAAAGATCTACCATGCCATAGTTCATAGATAAATGGCAAGACATTAAACACTAACTGCAAACACAGTCATAGTCACCACACTGAAAAAAAATGCCTGTCCAAGATAGTCGCTGCAACTTGTTAGAACTGCATCCAAAAATGTAAATTAACTTGTTCACAAACTCCATCCATCCAGGCTGAAGTCGGTATGAAGCCTTTATCACTAGTAGCCTACTATTAGTACAAATGAGAGCCAGATAAACCTAAACGAAACTAAGTGAATGCACCTTTGTAGGTGGTTCAGACTGTAGAAGGGCCTCAATAGTTTCAGTCTGACTCTTTTTCTTGCGGACTCATTAATTGGTTGCAGCTGTTACTGATTCTTTTGGCTTCACACATTATTTCCTGCTCAAGTCCTTTGTATGCTTTTGCACTTGCATATTTTCAGTCTTTACATTAGGCATGTACAGTGTGGTGAATGCGGAGAGTTCCCATGCTCCTGACCTGGAAACCAGGAAATATCAGACCATTTTAAAATTGTGGTTTCAAGGCCTGGAAAAGTTTTCTAGCAGTGCTTGACTTTAAAGTATTTTATGAGCTAGAAAGTACCTCTAATTTCATTCAGTTTAAAATATTTTTTAACTCCAGTAATGACTAGAGAAGTCATGTAAATCCATGGGTCAAAATACTTAAAGAGAAGATTTTGAAGAGAGAACATATATATTTTTTTCTTTACACAGGTTTTGTACAGAAATGTAGATTAACTTTCCCTTAGTTTCACTGTGAAACTGACTGCAAAACCCTGAAATGTCAGTTTCATTTTGTACAACAGATGACACTAAAACAGCAGTAGGTTGCTCTCAACATCTTTAATGGTTTGCATGGCAACAAACATGTCAATCTGTATAGTCTCACTACTGTTCATAAGTTTGGGGTTGGTAAGAATTGTTTAATGTTTTTGAAAGAAGTCTCTTATGCTCACCAAGTCATGTAATAAAAAGTAAAAACATTAATATTGTAAAATATTACAATTTCAAATAACTTTTTTCTAATTTCCCATTTTTAAAATGTAATTTATTACTGTAATGCTAAGCTCCAATCTTCAGTGTCACATAATAATAATCCATCAGACATCATTGTTATAGGAGCCATGTAAATATTAATGTGTGATGTCATGTGACTGTGGGAAAATGTGGGAGTGTCATTAATTATTTGAGAGTTAAAACACCTGTTGTGAGTGGGGGTTGTCAGGGAAAGAAGGGGGTGAGTGATGGAGCACGCATTTTTTTGTTGACCGTATATTCAAACTTTTGCATTGATAATCTGCCGATCCTTCAAGAAATGCATGCCTCAATGAACAAGTTGTCGGTGGACAAATAAATCTCAAGAACAGATAACCAAGACCCTTAATGCTGATGCTAAATCATTTATTCCCAGAACTGAAGCTCAACAAATGGTTTCTTCTAAGGATTACCGCAATACAGGTGCAAAGGCAAACAAGAAGAACATTTCCCAAACCATTTATTCCCAGACAATTTAAAGCCCAAGTCAAATAAGTCAGCGTGGTAATGTGAACATAAGTGCCCCGTATGGAAGTGGCTCTGCT